AAAGCTAGTGTAGCTGAGCCTCTTCACAGGCTACTAGACAAACAAGCTGTGTGGCTGTGGTCACAAGCACATGAGGCTTGCTTTAAAGAAGTCAAGGCCTTGCTCACTTCTAACAGTGTTCTTGCACATTTCAACGAGTCTCTCCCTGTGTGCATCGCTTGTGATGCATCCCCCTACGGGGTTGGAGCTGTCCTGAGTCACCTCAGGTCTGATGGAACTCAGGTTCCTATTGCATACTACTCCAGAACATTGTCTTCTGCCGAGCGCAACTACGCTCAGATAGACAGGGAGGCTCTGGCTGTTGTTGCTGGAATTAAAAAATTCCACGATTTTCTATATGGCAGGCATTTCACGGTCTTCACTGACCATAAGCCTCTGCTGGGACTGTTTACCACACGTAAGCAGACTCCCCACATCATTTCCCCTAGAATGCTTAGGTGGTCTATTTTCTTGTCTGCATATGATTTTTCATTACTCCACAAGCCTGGGAAAGAAATGGGCCATGCTGATGGCCTCAGTAGATTGCCTCTGCCAGTAGTAGAAGCTGACCCCGCGCCAGCTGTCAACATTCTATCAATCCAAGCCTTGCCCGAGCTCCCTCTTAGTGCCAGGGATGTTACCGCTGAAACAGGTACAGATCACACACTTTCACGTGTCCGCTCCTGGGTCCTGTCCGGGTGGCCTGAGCACTGCCCTAGTCCTGAGTTTCAGAGTTTCTGGTCCAAAAGGAACGAATTGTCCCTTTCTCAGGGTTGTTTGCTTTGGGGAAACAGAGTTGTCATTCCCACCTCAATGAGGACTAGGGTCTTAGAATCCCTCCACGAGGGTCATCCTGGCATTGTTTCGCATGAAGGCTCTTGCACGCAGCCACTTGTGGTGGCCTGCTTTAGATAAAGATATTGAGGCTAAGGTACACGCATGCCACATGTGCCAACGATCTCGCCCAGAGATGCCCCAAGCTCCTGTGCATAAATGGGAGGAAACACAGTCCCCATGGTCTAGGGTGCACATTGACTACGCTGGGCCCTTTCAGGGCCAGTTCTTCTGGGTCCTTGTTGACAGCCATTCAAAATGGCTTGAGGTTGTGCCTGTCTCGTCCACCACCACTGCAAAGACTATTCAGGTAATTGAGGGGGATTTTTTGCCATGCACACGGGCTCCATCTGTCATTGTGTCATGACAACTGGCCCTCAATTCACTCTCTCTCCGAATTCCAAGCTTTCTTACAGGCAAACCTGGATTCGTCAGGCCACATCTGCGCCTTTTCACCCATCCACCAACGGTATGGCTGAACGCATGGTGCGCATCGCAAAGGACGCCTTGAAGAGACTCACCTACGGGGACTGGCATCACAGGTTGGCTGACTTTCTCCTTTCTTATCGCACCACACCGTCCACTTCTACAGGGAGAAGTCCAGCTGAACTTCGTTGGGGGCGCCAACTTACTACTAGACTTGACCGGTTGCGTCCGGACAGACTGCCTTCATCTACCTCACATCCTAGGGCACCTAGACAACTACTTGTGGGTGCCCCGGTTTGGGCTCGCAATTACGGGCCTGGTCTTACATGGGTCCCCGCTTCTGTGTCCAGGATCACAGGTCCTCTCTCCTACGAGGTTGCCCTGGACACCGGTCGTGTCCTGCGTCGGCACATCGACCAACTCCGCTCTAGGCGGGACTTTTCTGCTGAAACTCCTGGGTCTTTTCCAGGGGGGGAGGGGGACCCTTTGGAGCAAAGGGAAGGGCAAGAGCTACTGCCCATCGCCACTGAGGGAGCCCCAAACGGCTCGTCCCAAGATTCTGCAATTGCTCCGAAAAGGAAGTCTTGGAGCTTACCCACACAACAGGCACTCACGCCTACTCCAGCCAGGGAGTTACCCCGGGGGCATACTCACTTTCCACACACCGCACACAGCACTCCAGCAACGGAGGATACCCGGGGGCATCCCAACAAATCATTCCCCGCAAGAGAGCTGGCACACAGTTCCCAAGGTTGGCCTGACCTTACCCCAAATCATACAGGGGGTCAAACATACACAGAGCTAGTCGAGGAACCAAGTCCCGACTACAACACCCCTAGCACCAATCAGGGGACACCTGAGTTTTGGGAGAGTACAGAAACCCACACGAGCCCAAACACAGAATGGGGTTCAGGGAATAGACAGCCTCCTGACAGGTCTTGGACTGACCTAGGGGGTTCTACAGAGACTCCCAGCAGTGGCTATCACTTCAAGGGGCCTGAGGGTCTACAGCTAGGTAGGACAACCAGGTCACAAAGCAACAGAAGCCCTGGCCTGACGAGCCCGGTGGGCAAGCAAGCAGGCCAGGCATCGGGGCACAGTCCTTGGAAGACACCAGGGCACAGTAGAGAGAACAGGCTCATGCCTCCCTCCAGTCAGGGGACTTATGACAGTAACCCAGAGCTAAGAAGGTCACAGAGAGCAAAGAAATCTCCTAAGTACCTAGAAGATTACATAACATTGTTGGCAAGACAGAAGCCAGTAAACAGTGGGAACACTGGGGAGCAAATTGTCGTGTAAAATAAATGTTGTATGTTGATAGTAGTTTTAGCCCGGGGGAAAGGGGTGTTATGTCCCGAGCCTTGCAAACGGCTCGGGCGTTTGCAGGCAGTCCCGGGCAGGTGCACAGCTGCCCGGGACCAGACAGGCTGTCGCCAGCGCCGTGCGCATGCGCGGGTGCTGGCGCGGGAAAAGTAACCCATTTACCCGGGAGTTGCCTATATAAGAGGCTGTGAGGCGTTTGGGCTGAGCTGAAGCCATCTTCCTGTAAGCTGAACGCTGAATAAAAGAACCTGAGAACTCCAGCTGCTTCTCGTGTCTGTTTTCCCGCCAAGGACGCAACAATTTGGAAATCAGATTTGCCCGGAAAGCTGCAGACTTAAGCACAAATCAACACAGCAAGGCATATTGCCCAGGAATGGTGTTTAAGAGTGTGATAGATCTAATTTGTTGAGACTGGTCATGATTCTCTGTTACTCCCAAGCTTATCTTCCTGTTCCAGAGACAATAATCTTTTTTTTTTTTAAATAAGCAGTTTATATTTGTGGTTGTGACTTAATCTGGATGTTTCTGCTGGTCCCAGCTTTGTGGATTTTCAGCCACAATCTGGCCAAAACTAGATAGCACCAGCAGCAAGAGGTTTTGAAAAAAGGATTAAATAGGAGGTTTACACTTAAAACATGTTTAGAAGTCTTGCTGAATGTTCTAGATCAGGGGTGTCAAACTCAATTTCCCTGAGGGCCGCATCAGCATTGCAGTTGCCCTGGGGGGGCGGGTGGGTGTAGCCAGAGTGGGTGCAGCCTATTGGGTGGGCATGGATGGAGTGGGTGTGGCGTGGCCAGTTCTACATCATTCGCGCCAAGGGTGCCTGTGGGGGCCTGGGCAGGAGTGGGACAGATCTGAGGGTCTCTGGCAGAAGACCTGAGGGTCTCTGGCAGGGTCTCTGGCAGAATACGTCAGCTCTAAACCGGGAAACATTAAGATTCTGAACTTGCCAAGTTTTTAACTTTTTCTTAGTACATATATGGTCTGAGATACTCATCTTCACAAATGTTATCAGTTTTAATCTTCTTTTCTTTTTGCCAGCAAATCCCTTTTTCAATTTGCCAAACAAACTATCTTCAGCATGCCATAAACATATCATTTCAATCCAGCTCCAAGTTAGTAAGAAAGGTGAAGAAACAACTTTTTTTTTTCAAAGCTGCTTCCCTGTTTTTGCATTCTGGAAGAAAAGCAGGGTTTCATGGCACTGATAGGAAAAAGATCAGATTTGGGGGGCATTGCTACCATGGCTTGCTTTTCTAACTCAGAAGAAGTTTGCATTTTATCTCCCATCTTCTTAAAAAAAAAAAAAAAAACAGCATCCTGTGAGTTGTTTTTAACACAGCTCATTTAATATAATCAAGAGGCCTTAGCACAGGGGTATCAAACTCAATTTCATTGAGGGCCGCATCAGCATTGAGGTTGCCCTCAGGGGGCCAGGTGGGTGTGGCCAGGGTGGGTGCGGCCTACTAGGTGGGCGTGGATGGAGTGGGTGTGGCCTACTGGGTGGCTGTGGCCAGCTCTACATCATTCGCGTCAAGGGTGCCTGTGGGGACCTGGGCAGGAGTGGGATAGATCTGAGGGTCTCTGGCAGAAGGGAGTGGGACTGGGGCAAGTGCCAAGGCATGGTCCACTGGGGCAAGTGCCAAGATGGCCACCATAAAATTATACATTGGCTCCCGGCCGGCCTGGGCCAGGGCCAAGGCAGCGGGGGCCATTCCCTCACTGTTTCCAGGATGGCTTCGCGGGCCACATGAAACCACTTTGCGGGCCGCATCCGGCCCCCGGGCCTTGTGTTTGACATGTCTGGTCTAGATCTTATCTACAAGTGAACATGCACTATATTGTGCAGTTGATTTTTCCCCCTACTAAATTAGTGTGATTATACCAATAAAAGAAAATATCTGTAGTTCAGGGTGGAAATGAGGGGTCCTTGGTGCCCTCTGACATTGATTGTTTTCTTGCAGATGTTTCATTAACCAAATAGGTAACATCATCAGTGCTAGAAGGGAATGGGGGAGGAGGAGGAGGAGGAGGAGGAGGAGGAGGGGGAGGAGGAGGACGAGGACGAGGACGAGGACTGTGGGATCCTTGGTGTTCTCTGAACTTGACTGTTTTTTTGCAGATATTTCATAACCCAAATTAGTCTAGCACAGATGATGTTATCTGGTTTGGGTCATGACACGTCTGCACAAAAACCCACCAAGCCCATAGAGCACCAAGGACCCCTCAATACAATTGTGGTCAGTTATGGGTATTTATTCTGGATGAGAAATGTGATTATGTTAATCAAGTACTTTTAGCTTATTTAAATTATGAAGCATTTGTGAATGGAGCAACTGTTACCACACAATCCCTCACAAGAACTCTGGTTGCAGTTACCATCATCCTGAATATTATTTTCCTAGGGCAAAAACTAAAATCATTTTTTTTCTCTCCAGGGCCAGGACTTAATAAAAGCCTGAAGTTTTGAAGATGTGGTAAATGGGGTAAGTGATGTAACCTCACACTCAGAACTCTGTGAAAAAGGAATCCAATGTAATAACATTCTTTAATAAAGAACCTTAGTGGAAAGATACAGAATAGGCATGCCACAGACTGAGTAATTAAATGGTTTCAATTCTGCTTGTCATGCCATGATCACAGGGCAGTATAGAATATTAAAATACCATTTATATTGTTTAAAATGCAATAAAGCCTATCAAGCAATAAGAGATTTTTTTAAAATGAAGTACATAAAGTTATATCCATGTGTAGAACAGCACCCACTGTAAAACAATTCTTCTTTTAAATGTTGTAAGCATTTAAACCCCAATGTAACCTATATAAATTTGTTAAACAAACAAACTAATAACAACCCCATCTACCAGCAAGATTATGTAAATGCCTTCATCATGCTTTTGTATCATTTTGGCTTCTCTGTCATTTCTTTTCAATGGCGTCATTTAGGAGGGAGGGAGGAGATGAGAGGAGGAAGAAGGGAAGAAGGAAGGAATGAGATGAGGGAGGGAGGGAGGAAAGGAAGGAAGGAAGGAGATGAGGGAGGGAGGGATGGGGGAAGGGGGGAAGGAAGGGAGGGAGGAAGGAAGGAAGGAAGGAAGGAAGGAAGGAAGGAAGGAAGAAGGAAGGAAGGAAGGAAGTGAGGGAGGGAGGGATGGGGGAAGGGGGGAAGGAAGGGAGGGAGGAAGGAAGGAAGGAAGGAAGGAAGGAAGGAAGGAAGGAAGGAAGGATGAGGGAGGGATGGGGGAAGGGGGGAAGGAAGGGAGGGAGGAAGGAAGGAAGGAAGGAAGGAAGGAAGGAAGGAAGGAAGGAAGGAAGGAAGGAAGAAAGAAGGGAGAAAGGAATGAGAGATGAGGGAGGGAGGAAGAGAGGGAGGCAGGAAGGAAAGAAAGGAAGGAGGGAGGGAAAAGGAAGGAAGGAAGGAAGGAAGGAAGGAAGGAAGGAAGGAAGGAAGGAAGGAAGGAAGGAAGGAAGGAACAATGTACTGCAGCTTTGAAAGCTAGAATCAGTGACTGGCAGTAAAAGCAAAGACAGATAACTTTCCTGAAAATTATTAGTGTTTATCATCCTTCAGGATAAACTGATAAATGATTTTGCAGCTGTTTCACATAGAGAGTGGTGGCTCCAATAAGGCTCTTTGTCAACAAAGAGATTGGTGAGTCTTTGGAATGGATGGATGGATGAATAGTAGTCCTCAATTCCAAAATTGATGTGTTTTCTCTCGCTTTATATTTATATTCCAGGAACTGAACCTGTACTTTAGCTGCTGTCAAAGAAATTTCCTTGTGAATAGAAATATGGCTTGTTTTCTTATTACATGTCTAATTTTGATCTTTCACCCATAGATTCGAAACGGCATTTGTCCTCTTCCATCAACCCGAGGTTTGGCCTCAACTAAATCCGACTGCAATCCTACCAACATTTCCTTGGAAGGAGGCAGCCTTAACTCAACGAAACTTTCCTTTCTGTATAAAAATAGCAACTTCTGGTTTCTAGATTAAACTGGTGCTTCAGATTGATCTAGATTTGCAGTAGATATGGAAAAGAATTGAGAAATTACATTAACTTTATATGTGGTTATTTCAAAGTAAGCCGGAGTTCAATCCGATTTACTCCTAAAGAAGAATTCATTAGACTGCACCCTCATTTCACAATTTCTGAATTTAGCACACGGTAAACCCTACTTGACAGCATAAATTAGCTGTTTGATTCAAAATTAATTCAAAATTAGCTGTGAATTAAATTCACACCAGGGGTCTATAGTAGCCAATGGGTTATTAAGCCAAGCAAGGACCAAGTCTGGTTGATCATAGGATGAAAGACTTCCAGGGACCAGCAGGTTTGACAGTCATGGAAACTAAAAAGGATCTCTTAGAAAACTGCAGTGACAAATTACTTGAAGGGCTTCACTGAACATTACCTTTCTAGTCATCAAAACTAGAACTTAACCTGAAAACTTGTTTTTGTTAACAAAGGAGATTTGTGCCTATTTTCCTCTGAGAAGCTAAGGCTCAGCTGGATGATCACTGTTCTACAAACACAAAAATGGAGCCCACTGGTGATTCCAGACCTGTGATAAAAGCATCCAGACACCCACTAGATCAGGGGTAGGCAACCTTGGCTCTTTTATGATTCGTGGACTTCAACTCCCAGAATTCCTGAGCCAGAATGGCTCAGCTTGGAAACCTCTCCCTTTCCCCCCAGCATGGCTGGCTCAGGAATTCTGGGAGTTGAAGTCCACGAGTCATAAAAGAGCCAAGGTTGTTTACCCCTGCACTAGATCATTGCCTTCTACTGGCATCAGCTTATTTTTACAGTAATAGCCCTAAAGTCCACAATAGTTACAGGCAGGGATGTTTGCTTGCCAAGACCATTATTTATTGACAACTGGATGTGGCTCCGAGCTATTTAACTCAAATCATCTGTTTTATCAGGCATCCACTAGACAATTCTCCTAGGGACTTGAATGGGGCTATGGAAGTGTTTCTCCACTGCTTAACGATAGGATAGAGAGTATTTCAATTCTAAGCAAAGAGCCTGAAAAATGGAACTTGAACACTTCTGATAATTGCAGACATTGCACTAAGCAGCGGTGGGATGTATTTGATTTTCACTTACCCCGTCATGGGAATCCAGCCAATTTATTAAACAAGCTATAGCTTGGGGTAGCGGGTGAACACAATAATTGAGTTCATCCTAGAAAATCACAATTTGGAGATTTCGTCCAGAGCCGAGCCTAGGATGTCCTCCACCAATGCCCACCCCAGTTGCTTTGGTAAGTGGGTTAGATGGTCAAAGGCTTTCAAATGCACCCAGAGGAACCCAGAGAAGGAAGAATTAGCCAAACAACCAGGGCTTTTTTTCTCATAGAACGCCCAGAACGGAGTTCCGGCACCTTTTTGGGATGGAACCTTATAGGGTAGGCAAGGCAGGTTGTATGACTTGTCTGAGTTCCAGCACCTTTTTTTTTTTTTAGAAAAAAAGCACTGCAAACAACAATTGAACGTTCCACTCCTTTATTGAGTGTGCTATTCCATGCTAGGGGGCACAATGGCTCAGTGGTTAGAGACACTGTGCTTGTCAGCTGGAGAGCTGACCGCCCAGGTTCAAGACCTGAGCAACACGCAATGGAGTGAGCTCCCGTTCCTTCCTGCAGCTTCTGCCCACCCAGCAGTTGGAAAGCATGCAAATGCGAGTAGATTAATGGGTACCACTTTGGTGGGAAGGTAACAGTGTTTTGTGCACCTTTGGTGTATAGCCATGCTGGCCTTTGAAAATATCATCAAACAAGCTAGCTGCCTTGGCCAAAAAACAGAGATGAGAACTACTCCCTCCCTAGCAGTGGACAAGACTGAACAGGAGAACCTTCGCCTTTTACTCTGTGCTCAATGGCAATCCTTGATTGGAAGATTGTTTGCATTTCATAAAGGCGACAGTTTAGTTACTGCTGAATGTGTTTTACAAGTTGACCTTGTGCCGCCAAGAGTAAGCACCACATAACTATGCATAGATTGCAGTCCTGTCAAGTTTTATTAATGATTTTGTTTGGATACCTGTGTTTTATGATGGAGAGTTTAACTAGCCCACCCCTTAGCTGGTTAAATTCAAACTTCTGGTATGATTGATTCATTCCATGCAGTTTCTGCCTGGGAGAGGGAGGGAGGGAGGGAGGGAGGGAGGAAGGAAGGAAGGAAGGAAGGAAGGAAGGAAGGAAGGAAGGAAGGAAGGAAGGCGAAGGGAGGGAGGGAATAAGGAAGAAAGGAGGGGGAGGGAGGGAAGGAAGGAAGGAAGAAAAAGAAAGAAAGAAAGAAAGAAAGAAAGAAAGAAAGAAAGAAAGAAAGAAAGAAAGAAAGAAAGAGGAAGGAAGGGAGGGAGGGAGGAAGGAAGAAAGGGGGAGGGAGGGAGGGAAGGAGGAAGGGAGGGAGGGAAGGAAGGAAGGAAGGAAGGAAGGAAGGAAGGAAGGAAGGAAGGAAGGAAGGAAGGAAGGAAGGAAGGAAGACTACCAAAGAATGAAAGAATAGATGTTCCCTAACTTTGGACTATGGCCACACCCAAAGTTGAATTGTCTTTCAACTCTTACTCTTAATGGTCCATGGGGTCACAAAGAGTCAGACATGACTTAGTGATTGAACAACAACAAAACCATTTTGGAAAAGGAACCAAATCTTGAGATCATTCAAACTTGAGATCTTCTCTCAATTCTCATTTCTTGGCTAGTCTGAAACCAGCACCAGTCTTCCATGATCCTACAATCCTTTGGCCGAATTCCAAAGCTATTCCAAATTATCTCTGTCTCAGCAGTGTTATGTTTATAACCTCCATAAAATTGATCCTTCATGAAAAGGCTCTCTGGATCTTGTAGATGACCCGTCTCCTCATTTGCTTTCTTTATCCTAGCAGATCTTTCAAAAGACAATTGTATACATCCCTCTTATAGGAATGACTTGGATTTACACGTCTTTAATGCATGACTTGGCTGCGTGCATGTCTGTGTTTTGCATTGACCAGATAAATGAAAACCACTTGTGAGGGCATGGACATGAAAAAAGAGGGTTTCAAATAATTTATTCTGCTTTCTACTGCATCTGCCCACACAGGTTTCCAACATTTTTTTTTCTATTCTAAATTTCTCAATATTAGAATCAGCCAGAGATGGAGGCTATGGAAATGGAAGAGAGTATCAAAAATTGGATTCATCCCTCTGGGAGACTTGAGAAAGATGTAAAATCCAAGGAATGTATCACCCCCTTAAGGAAATAAATAGTTCCAACATCGTGAATACTCAAAGGAAGAACGGACATATTTTTGTGAGATATATCATAAAACAAGCATTAGTCTGTTTATTCTTATTAGAACATCCCTTTCTTGTTTGGATCATGTAAAATCCATTTGGATAGCTAAATTTGCTTCTTGTGCAATACATCATAAAACTAATGATGTTCTGTAATTTTATGAGCCACTCCATGGGCAATAAAGCTAATGATATAAAGAAGTGTTTTGAAAGGTCATCTTTTCCACATCAAACTCTGAAGGACAATCATAAAATCTGCTGCATTATAGCCTTTTTTTAATAATATCATTTCCTACCAATTCTAATCTGTTATCATATGAAGTGGGGTTGCATAACAATCAGATTTCTTTCCAGGGCTGAAATATCACCATTCAACATTATATTTTTCTGCAAGCTAACAAATGCAGGACAACCTGAAAAGTTAGCTTCTCTATGGAGATCCTGAAGATCATCAAGGAGTGTGACCACAGACCTCTCTTTAAGAGTTGTGTTGCCATGCTGGTCAGCTGGATTTTACCTTCTCCTAAGGAGTAATAGCAATGGAGAGAATGCATTTACATTTGCAAAATATTAACTAATAGATTTTAAGATTACAACATTCATCAAATCAAGTCAGAAGATGGGTGTCTCCAGAAGAGAGTCAAGATGGTGGTCATGATGGTGTGGTAGAATCTCTGCCAGGTTTTTTTGTGTGTGTTTTTAAATTTGTCATCTTAACTTTTGGGACTATCCTTAATGGATTTTATATTTAATAAAATAAGAGTTTATTTTTTAAAAAATGATTTCTTTCTAATGCGTTAAACTGTTTTTAAGGATTGCTCAGTGGCCTTGCCTAGCCCCTGAGCTCCTAAAGGCTGGCATAAATCTCAAGCTGAACAAAATGTCCTCTCGTCTTTTTCTATCAGATTCATTCAGATATCTCAGCAGACATTGTTTGCAGACACTGGACCAGGCTATTCGGAAGACACCCAGGCCCAAGCCATTGTAGGGCTTGAGGGGTAATTTGGAAACCAACTATCAATAAATGCAGCTCCTTTAGGTTATATACAGTAGTATGACCCTGCCTTACCAGTTCACATGAAATGGGCATTCTGGATATGTTGGTTATAACAGATGGAGATGTTTCTTCTAAAAATGCCTACCTGTGGTGAGGAATAATCTAGATCAGTGTTTCTCAAATTTGGCAGCTTTAAGAGTTATGGACTTATAACAGCTGCAAGACTACTGGTGGGGCAATATTGGAAGAAATATATTTTGCCTACTATGGAAGAATGGATACTTAAGGTGTCTAATTTAGCAGAAATGGCAAAAATCTCCACTTATTTAAAGGACTATTCACAAGAAAAATACCGTAAATGCCGGCGTACAAGGCGACCCGGTGTATAAGACGACCCCTGTCTTTATAGCCGGGCCGCATTCCTACAACGTCGTCTTATTTCCGGCATATAAGACGACTCGGCGTATAAGACGACCCCCGTCTTTGGCGCCGATTTCAGCGCTCGCAGAAGTCGTCTTATACGCCGGCATTTACGGTATATTTTGGTTTGGAGAAGATGGATTGATTGTATTCAAAAGAAATATCAGACTGAAAAATATTATCTTGCTTATGAGTAATTTTTAGATTATTGTTAATAGTTTAATATGATTGAATTTATATTATTTTATTTTATATAATATTTTATATTATATTATTTTTAGTATTATGGTTTAATCATATAATTATAGAATCATATAATTATTTTTGTTTTCAATTTGTTAATATTCATTTTGAAGAGGACTTAAAGTAGGTTATGGATTTGATTAATAGTATAGTTGGGTAATGTTATTCAGATTATGTTTGTTTATTTGTAACCCTGTAATCAGCTCTGGGAAGTGGGGGAGGGGGGAGGGGGGAGGTATTGGGGATATATATTGTGTGAAATTTTTAAAACTTTTAATAATAAAAAAAGAGTTATGGACTTCAACTCCCAGAATTCCCCAGCCAGTATGAGTTGAAGGTCACAAGTCTCAAAGTTGTCACGTTTGGAGACCCCTGATCTAGACCGGTGTTTTTCAACTTTGGAAATGTTAAGAAATATGGACTTCAACTTCAGGAATTCTGGGAATTGAAGTCCACAGACCTTAAAGCTGCCAAGATCGAGAAGCAGTGAACTAGAGAACAAAGTACATTTTCATGCAAAGCTGCAGTTTTATGGCAGGCTTGGGTCATATTCAGCTGGGATGATTGGCCCATTACTTATTTAGAAGTTTTGGGCTGTGGGAAAACATCAAATAAGTGATTTTTTTTCCTTACCTTGCAAAGATATTTAGCCAGCAAAAAATCTTTTAGGGTTGCAAATTTTTTTTATTAATTTATCAAAATATAAAATACGGACATACAAAGAAAAATGGGAATAATGGGAAGAAAGGAGAGATGTTGAGACTCTAGAAAGAGTACAGAGAAGAGCAACAAAGATGAATAGGGGACTGGAGACTAAAACATATGAGGAACGGCTGCTGGAATTGGGTATGTCTAGTTTAACGAAGAGAAGGCCGAGGGGGGACATGATAGCAGTCTTCCAGTATCTCAGGAGCTGCCACAAAGAAGAGGGAGTCAAGCTATTCTCCAAAGCACCTGAAGGCAGGACAAGAAGCAACGGATGGAAACTAATCAAGGTGAGAAGCAGCCTAGAACTAAGGAGAAACTTCCTGACAGTTAGAACAATTAACCAGTGGAACAACCTGCCTCCAGAAGTGGTGAATGCTCCAACACTAGAAGTTTTTAAGAAGAGACTGGACAGCCATTTGTCTGAAATGGTATAGAGTTTCCTGCCTGAGCAGGGGATTGGACTAGATGACCTCCAAGGTCACTTCCAACTTTATCGTTGTTGTTGTTGTTGTTGTTGTTGTTGTTGTTATAGAAGGGAAAGGGGGAAAAGGGTAGGATAAAAGGGAAAAGAAAAAGAAAAGTTCCATTTTTCTTTTGGGCAAATACGATAATAAGATACAACCTCAACTTTTTACTTTTACATAATAGCATATACTAGCCATTTCTATAACAACAAACCTATCTAATCAGCAAAACTCAAAATCAAAGTTTCATTTTCTTCCCACCTCAAGCATAAAGTCCAGAAGTGGTTTCCAAATAGAAACAAAATTGTGTTCTTTTCTTTAATCGGAGTAATCAATTTGGTTGTGTCTATCAAATTTAATCCAACCAACTTTTGCAGCCTTTCGTCCATTGTGGGAATCAAAGTATCTTTCCTTTTTTGTGCCTAGAGTATTCTTGCTACTATCAGTATATATAACATCAAAGTCCCCCTTTTTTTTCCAAGTTCTCTGTCCATTCAGTCCAAAAGAAAAGTCTGTAATTTTAAATGTATATTCACTTTAAGAATCTTCTGTATTAAGATGAGAGGAGAGGAGAGGAGAGGAGATAAGATAAGATGATAATCTTTATTGTCATTTTGTTTTACTGTGGGCACAACGGCACACATCAAAAATGAAATTTAGTTGCCCACTCTCAAAGTGAAACACATACATGACGCACACCTAAACATACTATGTACAACTTATGTATAGACCCATACCCCTACATATACATAACAAATAAATATTAAATACTGTCCGTCTTGAATATATAACGGAAGGAGGAAGCTTGAGAGTTCACAAGGTTAATGCTGTATGGAATGAAACTCTGGCTGAATCTGGATGTTCTGCTACGGATACCACGGAGCCCCCTCCTCCAGAGGGTAACAAGGAAAACAGGTCGTGAAGAGGGTGTGTAGTGTCCCAGATGATCTTACAAGTTAAATCTTAAGAGTTGAATCTTGCTCTAATATTTCTTTGCTAGCCAGCAAAACATTTTGATTCTGTTCTTATATGGGGTGGAACAATCAAAGAGTGAAGCTAAGTACTCAACAGCCCATTCTCAAGAATAGCTAAACTTTTATCTTGCTATCTGTAATTCTTCTTTAAATCCATTTTGAGTTATAGCTTTTGTTTCTAAGTATCTATTTTTAGCATAATCATGAAGCACAAGTTGTATAAGAGCCGAGGTGGCGCAGCAGTTAGAGTGCAGTACTGCAGGCCACTTTAGCTGACTGTGTTCAGCAGGTCAGCGGTTCAAATCTCACTGGCTCAAGGTTGACTCAGCCTTCCATCCTTCCGGGGTAGGTAAAATGAGTACCCAGATTGTTGGGGGCAATGTAAATATATATATACATTGCTTACTGGTGTACACCGCTTAGAGAGTGCTTGTACTTAAAGCGGTATATAAGTCTCATAAATAAATAAATAAATAAATAAATATAACAGCAAACAAATTCAATAAAAGAAAGTGCCACGCTTATAACAGAGGAAATAAAGGGAAAAGAACAAGATTGAGGGGTGGAATTCAGTTTTAAGTTTTATGCAATTTCATTGCAAGAATGCTTTGAAAGTAAAATGTTGCATCTTGATTTATTTTCTTTCCTGTGCATCTATAACGCACCACCCTTGCTCACAGTTTATGTTTTCTCCATAAAGACATTCCTGAAAATATACTTTTCTTTCTAACATCCTTTCCAGTGTAAAGCAGTTAACGAAGATAATTTAGATCAGGGGTCTTCAACTTGGCAACTTTAAGATTATGAACTTCAACTCCCAGAATTCCCTAGGCAGCATGAGTTGAAATCCACAAGTCTTAAATGTTGCGAAGTTTGGAGACCTCTGATTTAGATCAGTGTTAATGTTGCTTGTAAAATAATAAAATAAAATAAAATAATAAAATGTATAAATGATGGGTTTCATGACTTCCAATTCATGATAGTCAATCTGGTGTAGGTTGGTGTGGTTAAGAGGCAGAAAGCCAGCTGGGGGCAGTCCGGTTTGGGGGCACTTGGTCTCTAAAAGCTTCACCATCACTGCCATATGATCAAAGGCAACCTGAGATTTCATGAAGATCCTAACTGATCTTTTTATCACTTTGTGGGAGGGTTATCATACCTGGACTGCAAAAATCTGGTTTACTAAAAAAAAAAAAAAAACCATAGGAAAGAATTACATAAAACTCTAACTCAGTAGGTAGCATTCTGGAGAACTAACAACCAGAAATGTATCTGTGTGCTTCCCTTTGCTGGGCTTCCTTGCAATAGATTTTAAGAAAGAAGTTGCCTTGACAACAACAATCTTTGCAGGACTACC